AAAAATAAGATTTAATCTTTTAAAACTTCAAGAGAAAAGAAATAACTTTATCATTAATCCCCAAAATTAATATTTTAATTAAACTACCTCTTGAAATTATACAATTCTTATTATATTCTTCCACATTAATTTCAAGATTTATTTTTATTCAAATAAACCACCCATTAGCTATAGGATTAATACTTTTAATTCAAACACTACAAATTTGTTTATTAACAGGACTAATAGCAAAAAGATTCTGATTCTCCTATATTTTATTTTTAATTTTTCTAGGAGGAATATTAGTATTATTCATCTATGTAACTTCATTAGCTTCAAATGAAATATTTTCTTTATCCATAAAATTAACAACTCTTTGTATCACTATTATAACAGGCCTTACATGTATTTCTCTATTTATTGATAAACTCTCTACACTTCCTTTTATCCAAAACTTAGAAATAAATACCTACTTTAACACTAATTTATTTACACCTGAAAATTCATTAAATCTACACAAATTATATAATTTCCCAACAAACCTAATAACAATTTTATTAATAAATTATTTATTAATTACACTAATTGCAGTAGTAAAAATTACTAAACTATTCTACGGACCTCTCCGGCCTATAAACTAATGAACAAACCTTTACGAACCCAACACCCCCTATTTAAAATTGCAAATAACGCGCTAGTAGATCTTCCAGCCCCAATTAATATTTCAGCTTGATGAAACTTCGGATCACTATTAGGATTATGTTTAATTATTCAAATTCTCACAGGATTATTTCTAGCTATACATTACACTGCAGATATTAACTTAGCATTCAATAGCGTAAATCACATTTGTCGTGACGTAAATTATGGTTGATTACTACGAACTCTTCACGCTAACGGTGCTTCATTCTTTTTTATTTGTATTTACTTACATGTAGGACGTGGAATTTACTACGGTTCATATTTATTTACACCTACATGATTAGTAGGAGTCCTAATCTTATTTTTAGTTATAGCAACAGCTTTCAAAGGATATGTTCTACCTTGAGGACAACTATCTTTCTGAGGAGCAACAGTTATTACTAATTTATTATCCGCTATCCCATACCTAGAAATTGATTTAGTACAATGAGTATGAGGAGGATTCGCAGTAGACAATGCTACTCTAACCCGATTTTTCACATTTCACTTCATCTTACCATTTATTGTATTAGCAATAACATTAATTCATCTTTTATTTCTCCATCAAACTGGTTCAAATAATCCCATCAGATTAAACTCCAATATTGACAAAATCCCTTTCCACCCCTACTTTTCATACAAAGATATTGTTGGCTTCGTAATTATAGTAACAGCCTTACTACTCTTAACATTAATTAACCCATACTTATTAGGAGACCCAGACAACTTTATACCAGCTAACCCTTTAGTTACCCCAGTTCATATTCAACCAGAATGATATTTCCTTTTCGCTTACGCCATTCTTCGATCAATCCCCAATAAACTAGGAGGAGTTATTGCCCTAGTATTATCAATTGCTATTCTAGCTATTCTTCCATTTTACCACATAAGAAAATTCCGGGGAATTCAATTTTACCCAATCAATAAAATTTTATTTTGAACTATAGTAGTTACAGTAATTTTATTAACATGAATTGGAGCACGACCAGTAGAAGAACCTTACGTTCTAGTAGGACAAATCCTAACTATCATTTATTTTTTATATTATATTATTAACCCATTAATTAATAAATGATGAGATAATTTAATTAATTAGTCAATGAGCTTGAACAAGCATGTGTTTTGAAAACACAAGATAGAAATTAACCTTTCTATTGACTTTACTAAATAAAATTAACCATATATAATAAATCAACAATAGTTTAAACCCAATTACAAATAACAAAAAATTTAATGAAAACGGTAAAAAACTCTTTCAAGCTAAATATATTAATTTATCATCATAAACAAATCACACCCCAAAAAAATAACACAAAATAATATACTTATAAATAAAATTCTAGCATATTCAGCTATAAAAATTAAAGCAAAACCCCCTCTTCTGTATTCAATATTAAACCCAGAAACCAATTCCGATTCACCTTCAGCAAAATCAAAGGGAGTTCGGTTAGTTTCAGCCAAACAAATACAAAACCAAACTAATCTTATAGGAAACAAAATTACCAAAAACCAAACAAATTTTTG